TAAAATGAATACCATTTGCTCTGACTGGAAAAGCATTTTCCAGTCCCCTTGAAGCACTGGGGATTGAGCCTGGAGTGTTCCACATGCCAGGCAAGTACCCTCACACCTGCATCATCTCCAGTTTCTTAAAAACTGAAGTAACAACTCAGTTAATCACAATCCCTGGTATGTAGTATACAGCCACACATCTAAATCTGTCTATAGTAATTATGTATGTAACTGCTTCCAAACCCTAAAGCAGATCCTTACTTTGGGTTCCGTACACCTCTCCTAGCCTCCCTCACTTGGATACTACTTTGGATTTTAAATTCCTACACACTGTTATTCTTTCTGGGTATTATTATTGCTTGCAAATAGAGGTAAGAGCTAGCTGCATTTCTTAATGCTGTACTCACCTATCTCAGCAACCCCTTTTAAGTTAATCTCAACACCTACCCATGTATCTAAAAACCAGATAACCTTTACTATAATTGTTCTTGGTAAGCCTTTATGGAAAATATGACAAGTATTTATTTAACTTTTTACTTTTTTTCTGAAGCCCCGAGGATAAAACCCTGAGTCTGCTGAATAATACTGTATTACTGAGTGACACCCCAGCTCTTAGCACAAGTTTTGTGGGGTGCCCATTCTGGGCCAAGCCCTGGCCTAGCTGATAGTAAAAGCAGTGAACCAAAAGCAGGCCCAAAGTCTCCTTGTACACATAGGAAAATAATAAACCAATAAATAAGTAAAATGTTTAGTCTGTGCAAAGGTTTTTAAGTGGATAGAGGATAAAAATAGGGAAAGCAAAAGGGTGGGGCTCTTGCCTCTAACTCAGACAGGGAGAGAGGAGCCCAGGCTCTGAACTGCTGTCAGACTCAGGGAAATACAATGGTCTCAAGAAGGTGATGCTAGTCAGATCTGGAAAGTGTCTTACCCCTAACCAAAGATTTAAAGTATCACTGGGAATGAAGGCTCAGGTCTATAATACCAGCACCAGGAAGCTGAGGCAGGAGGATCACCACAGTTCTAGGTCAGCCAAGGCTATATAGTTAGTTATATACTAGCCTCGCCTAGAATGACCTGGTCTAAAAACAAAGTAAATAAATAAATAAAAGGTGAATTAAGATTCCTATTTAAAAATTGGAATAAATTCATTATTTAAAGTTCAATTAATTATAGTATCTTATGATAATGCTTTAAGATTTAAATTTTAATACTTTAGTGTTTAAAAGTTGACAAAAACAAAAACAAAAAAAAAAAAAAAAAAAAAAAAACAAAAACCCAAAACAGTTAAGGCCATTCAGTTGGGAGGTGGAAGCAAAGTCTTTAGGCTGGGGATAACCAAAGAGATGAATTAGTTAAACTCCTCTATTTTGCACTTGACAAAAATGAGACCGAAATAAGCTGAATTAAATCCCTATCCATCTAGGTTGTATGTAGTGGAAAAGGCCTTCCTTCAGGTTATATTTGTTGTCTAGGGTTATAAGACTAGTTAATGGCTAAGGCAGCACCAAATATTTTTTAGTGTATAGTGGACATTCTTTCAGTAGTGTCTACGATGGTAAATCAGGGACCAACCTCTCAATCTAATAGCCTTAGCTTATAAGAGAGATAATTCCGTCTCTGTTAAGGGTCTAGATTAATGTGGAATTTAGTATACCTCTTACATTGTCTGCAGGATGGGGGACAGAGGGACAGCAAGAGTCCAGAATCCCTCCAGGGAGGCCCTGGGCTTTCTCTCAGGAAATAAGAAACTACTCACACACATGGGAGGCCGTATCCTGAGCACTGGGTCTTCACTGCCTGTTGTGATAATCCCCAGCTTCTTTCTGATGCAGCTGTGTGATATCAGCATCTCCTCCTTGCCAGGAAGCAGGTAAACCTACTGGCTTCCTTCCCTCTGAATCCTGTGTCTGCCCCTGGTAACCCAGGTTTCCTCTCATGCTGCCTCCACCTCATGCTGCATCTTAGTTAAGCTATGAATTCTGCAATTTAGGGAACCCGGAATCTCAAGAGGCTCATGGGATATTGGACAGGGCAGCAGAACATTGGAGAAACAGTCCTGGGACTGTAGGTGATTGCCAAGGAAAATACTACAGGCACAGTGAAATGTGCATTTCAGAGAAAACTTTGTCCTAAATATTGATAAATACCAAAAGCTTATCATTGTTTATTCAAAATTAAAACTGAACGGGGTGTTCTGTTTTCTAAACCTGACAAGTCTACATTTATGAGGAGGCAAGGCTGGCAACAACAGGTACCAGGGTTTGCTGTGGTTTGGGCTGTTTGACATGGGTAAGAGGGAAACAAAGTGGGGGGGGGACTGGAAATGCAATGTTTCTTTTGATACAAAAACTATGAGGGAACCTCGTTACTTTTGATTCCCCTGTGTGTCTGTGTTGTCCTTGTATTTTGTGGATAAAGAGATTGATATTAAGAAAAACAACAGAAAGTGACACAATTACAAGTATTGATTTAACAGTGAGAAAATAAATACTATAAAACATGTTATCAGTTTAAAAAATAACAACCATATTAAGTGTAGACAAGCTGCCTCCTACTTACCCACCTCCATGCCATGCAGCCTAACTATCTCACTTGTTCCCATTCCTATATAATCTTTATGCCTTCCAAGAGCCAGACATAATACCAGAGGGGCCTAAGAAACCACTTCATTCCACTTGGACATCTACAAGTTAAGTAAACAAGGTCTAGAGGGGAGAAACGGCAGATTGAGAATCCCACTGCCACAGAGGGCTCACCAGTATTGGTCTGTGTCCTAACTAATCTGCTTGTGTTATCATACATAGCTCTTACAAGTGCCATAGAAACACCTTCATTATCTATAAGACAGTATTTCCCTGGCCTAGGTAAAGGTCATATAGCAAAAAGGTAGAGGTGATGGTTGAAAACCCAGCTACACTGGCTGAGACCCTTATACTAAGCTATGATACCCTGCTTCTGTCAGATAAGATTACTTTACATCACCAAAATGTTCACAAATGTAAACACTCAGAGTCCCCAACTCCTGTGGCGGATCAGTCACTTAATCACAAGGCTACTTGGACAGAGTTAGTGGAAAGTTGATAAGACACGGTTGCCATCCACGTCAGTTTCAAAATGAAAGGACCTATCTGAAGACTGTGAATGTGCCTTCTCACAGCAAGCCCATTGCTATCATCAGAAAACAATTGGGTTTCATTTAGTTCTGAAACATTAATTTTAAAATCACAATACCATAATAAAATCATAATAAAATGTCATTGAAGTGAATATTCACTGCCATACAGGGCATTTGTGGCTGGAGTTCTTCTTCATTTTGTATGAGCTTATCAACCATGGCTTCTCAGAAACCCAACTTGCTTTGGCCGTCCCAGATTCCAATTCCCCCTGTTTAATCAAAGATTGAGGATTAAGCTTCCTGCTTCTGTATCATGCCTCTCAAAACTACCTTCCTTGTGACACAAAGGACTGGAAAAAAGTAAGGCTTGATTTCTCCAAAGTTCCAGGATAAAGTGCTACAGGGTCCAACTGGAAACCTCAGGCCTCTACAAATTCTCTGAGCTGGGTATTGGGATGGTCAAACACTGTCTTTCCTTCCCAGTGTACATTAGGTGAGGGGTTCCTTGATAAATCTGTTTTACAAGCCCACTATTGAGAACATCACCAAATCCTTTTAGAGACACCTCTTCCTATCCCTCCTCCAACACCCATTAAACCTCACAAGAGCATTTGAAATAAACTTGGCTTAATGCAAAAAAAAACAAAAGGACATCCTCGCTCCTTCAGAAAGGTGGCAGTATTGCCTCATGATTTTGAGCAAGTTACCAAGCATGTGAGGCCTCTAACAGATTAGCCACCTCCTCAATTTGGGAAGGAAAGGACAGATGAAATCCATGGCTAACATTGGTGGCTAGTGGCTAGCAGATACACCCCAGAGCTACAGGCACTGTGGCTTGTGGCCACGTAAGCTCTTGAGTTTTCTACTTGCCTCACTGTACAGAGCCATAGAAAATCTGTAGTGGGTGACAAGACACCTAAGGACAGGGAACGACTAAGGCAGTTACAGAGGCTCCTTAAGACCTGTCACCCACTGTGCTAACTTTTGAACCACCTATCTCAAGTCAAACAGTCGTCTAGCCCCTCGGAAGGTCTAAGAAAAGCAATTGACAATGAGTGAGTGAGCGCGAGTGAACGACACCAGCATCCAGCCGACATGGACACCTGTTACACAGAAGGCTCACACCAGAGCTCTCATCAAAAGGCTTCTTCTTAGAAGTTGGGTTCTACCATCAATGAATGGTCTGTTACCACAGTTACAAAAGCAATAAAATGCAAAACTGCATGGCCCTGCCAGGATGCTGATGCAGGAACCTACACTCCTGAACCTTCCGTAGGCCTCCATACAAACCCTTTCCTACTACTCACCTCTCTTGGGTGTCCCTTCAGAAGTTTCTTTGTGTGCCACTAACACAACAGTTTTAGGGAAAACTGTCCATTTATAAATATCAGATGGGAAAAAAAATTTGTGGCAGCACTGGGTTTTTCCCCCTACAGTGATGTCATTTTAAATTCTTAGTATGCTCCAAATTCGCTATTTTTACTTCCTCCAAGTGACTTTTTTGGGAAATACATTTGTTTGGATTAGCTACATGTTAAGTGACCCCTGGGCTTGATACACAGCACCAGGTTCATCTTTTCAGCATTTATAGCTGATAGGGCACCCACTCTCAAACTTCAAATCCCGTATTCGCCCATTTCATTCCTGTTCCCTTTGGATAGATCCCTCAAAATTTTCTATTCACTGATAGAGGAGAAATATAGTAAAATAAAGACATTGGATTATTTATAAACAAAACTCACACTCAATAGGTTGGCATTTGAAGGCATTCAGTCAAACATTTTTGGGGGAACAGAGTGGAGGCCGCCAGCTCAGACCCGAGGCATTCATTGCAAAGCGGTTGAGTGGACAGTGGTAGAAATGAAAAGTTTAAGGAGTGCTGAACGCCTTACTCTACCTGATCGGAACTTCCTTCTAATCAGCAGAGAGTGCTCAGACCCCAGGAGTGTCATGGTGAATCTCAGCAAGCCGCTGGTCGCTGGCCAGACGCCCCTTGTTTTCCTCCAGAAACTGGCTCCCAGGAGCCCAGAGGACAGCAACTAACAACCCAGAATTCATCCAACTCTCAGGGAGCTCCCTCGGGCAGGAGGACGCACAGTGGCCGCCAGTGTCCCCAGAAAACTGGCGCCTCCCCCCTCGCCGCGCGCGAGGCTAATTAACTCCCAGCAGGCAGGACCCTCCTCCTCTCAGGGTGGCCAGGAGCAGCCGCATCCTAGGCGTTCCTGGCTGATGTCATAGGCTGCCAGCGGTGGCGGAGTACCGCCACCACGCCTTTATGAAGGTCCCAAGTTTGCTATCTGATCCTCTTTACTACTGACAGGAGATCAGCCAATCAGGAGCGGTTAGCGGGGCCTGGGGACCCGGCGAGGCCCCGGGAGACTCAGCAGCCGGCTCTTAACTCTTTACAGAAGATTAAACAGCGGTTGCTGGCCCAGGCGAGAGCATGCATTGACACCGCTAAGTCGGCTGCCTGGAGGCTGCAGGTGGCGCCCGGCGGCGTTAGGAGCGTACCAGCGGCTCTGGCTGTGTGCGACCCCAGTGTCTCCAGCCTGCTGCAGAGCTCGGGAAGGGACACCCTTGGAACCCACTGGAGCCCTGGCCACGAAGCCAGGCTTGCAACGCCCGGGAGCTCCCGCTTTTTCTCTGTATCCGAGCGGTACTGTATCAAGGAGATCCCATCTCGCAGCAGCTATAACCGCCTGAGATGAGCATCCGAGGAGGTGGAGGAAAGCCTTTTGCTGTGGTTGGATGCTCTCTTTGGGGGTACAAGAGACTTTGTGTCTGGGGACTGAGCCTGGAGCGGGAAGGTGCAAGAGTCTATCTAGTGCCCTACTGGGTTCTCTACAGGGTGGGACTTGGGGGCTTAGGAATGCCAGATTGGAAAGGTGTAGTCCCTCTCCCAGTGGGAAATTCACTTTGTACTCAAAGTTGCACTGATGCACGTTTCTAGGGGTCCCTGGAGTGACAGGGGTCTCATGTGAGTCATTAAATACAACGAAAATTCCGTTTAAGATGAATAAAAAAAAATTGAACTGCCTACATACAATACACGATTTGCCATTATTTGCAACCTTCTGTGCACATGAACTCAGGTACAATTCCTTACATCTCTGCTTTTGTCTCAAAATTCTGAATTCTTGAAAGATCATCCAGGCTTCAGGTGGAAGCCTGAAGCGACAGTAGCTCCTAAGGCTAGTCTCTGTCCTGATCCGGGTTTCTGCTGCCATCATCTGTTACTGGAGACACTCTAGGCTGACTAGACCTTGACTTCCCTCATCTCTGGGCTGCACCAGTGTTGGTATGAATTAAGTTTTCTGGGATAGGCAACTTTCTTCCCCACTTCATCAGAGAGGAGGTGGAGCCATCTTACCCAACTTCCTCTTGCATATAGGGTTGGGCAGCTCAGGCCTGGGACAGGCTGCCTCCTGCAGAAGCCCAGCAGTGGCTGTGCTACATTCCACAAGCTGTGCTGGACTTGAGCTGTTCCTGTGGGAACAAACCAGCAACACATTAATGGCTTACATCAACCAAGATTCATTGCTGTGCAGGTCTGAAGGCTGGGAGTCAGAAATAGGCCTCACTGGGTTAAAATCAAGGTGTTGGCAGAGCTGTGTTCCCTTCTGGAAGCTCATGAAGAGAATCCATTTCCTCTCGTCTCCAGCTACCAGAGGCCACCCATGTTCCTTGGCTTCTGGCCTGTTATTCCATCTTCCAAAGCAGAAATTGTGGGTCGAGTTCTTGTTCCATCTTATCAGTCTAGCAGCCCCCCACCCCCTCACCTTTTGCATCTCTCTCTGAGTTAACCTTACTTTAAGGAAAACCTCTGTCAGGATAATTGATTATGAACCTTAATTCCCGCTTGCTATGTAATGTAACAGAATCACTGATGCCTGAAATTAGAGTATGTAGGGGAGGGTGTGGTACTGTGGGTCACATAGAGCGAATGGACGGCTTCTGTCCCAGCCTGTCTTTGTTGTAGTTAAAGTCCACAATACAGGTCTTCAAGGAAAAGAAATAAAACTGACGAAGGCTTGGGAGGGGCAGGCTCAGGTGTCTAGAAGAGCTCTAAGCAGGTTTGAGATGCCTGGGGCAGGGGCTACTCCAGAGGTGGGGGGAAAGTGGTAGGATAAGGAATATTATAAAATCCTATGGAGAAAGCAACCTTTAAAAAGAAAGAATTGAAGAATAGAGCCAAGCAGATCTTTACACTGAGGGCAGCAGGCTGAGAAGGTGCCCATGGCAACTTAATAGGGCATCTTTGTTTAGTTTGAGGATCTTACCCAGGGGTCTTCCTGGTCCAGAGGGAGGGAGCATGTTTGAGTTTGTGCTTGGAGACAGATGCATAGCCCCTGTTTTGTTTTCCTTTATTGTTGTTGTTTAGTGAGATGATGTCTCCTGAACTAGTGTAGGCTGCCCTACAAATCTTTTAGTTTTCATCTCAAAAGGACTTTGTTAATCAATCATTAAATAATACCGTTACTAATTCTTCAAGAATTTCACATAATTAATTTTTATCATATTCATGCTCCCTCCCCCAAGCCAATCCAGATCTACTATCTCTACCCTCCTTGCCGCCCTACCCATCCAATTTTGAGTTGTTCTTGTGGTCTCCTCCTCTCGTTCTCCTCTCCCTCTGCCTTGTCTTTATTTAAACCAATTGTATTTGATTGTGATGCCTAACTACTCTCAGGAGTGGGGCCTGCTCAAGTGGACCACAGTCCTGCCTCAGCCTCCGGAGAGCTGGGATTAAAAGTATATATCACCATTCTCCCATTCCTATTTTCTTTTTGTTCATTCCTTCCTTCCTCTTTATCCTGTCTCTCTGTCTCTTGGCCTCACCCCCACCCTCAGAAGCTCAGTGTGAGTTGGGAAATCCTGATAACCACAACCCTCCTCGGTTTTTCCCATCAGAGTATGGAGCAGCTGACTTCTGCCCTCTGGGATTTCTAGCACTTATGGCTTGGGATATCTATGGGTATAAATATGTGCATTATAGAAGCTCATCCTCTGCCCTCTGTGGTCAGATATTTTTATGACTTTTTGGGTGGAATTTGGACAGGCTGTTCCCCAGGAGAATGGAATCTCAGACAGCTGCTGTTGGAGTGTACTGTAGCAATGGGGCAATGGCTGTCACTGCTGCCTGACTCCTCCGCACTGATTCTTCGGGATCCTTCTCCTTTCTCCAGGCATTCTGTTTTGATTTATTTTACTTTTCTGTTAGTCAGGGTTTTTTTTTTCTATGTTACAAATCATAGCCACATGACACGTAAGGATACTCAATCCACCATGGACTAATGAAGCTCACATACAAGGATGTAAATTCTTATATAGAGATGAAAAGAATCAATTCTAACTAAGACAGAATTAACCATCTCTATTGCTAAACTGAGTGGTAGTGCTTGCCTGTAACCCCAGCACAAAGGAGGTAGAGGCAGGAGGATCAGGAATTCATTGTCATCCTCAACTAGAGAGTGAGTTTCAGACCAAGGCTACAGGAGAGCCTGTATAAAATTAAAATGAAACAAAGAAAAAGCACAAACAACAGCAACAACAACAACAACAATCCCCTCTGTCCTTTGTTGATGTTTTGCCCCAAAGGCTGCTGGGCAATGCCTGCTCATAGGCCTGTGGTGATACAGGTAGAGACCAGTCCATCTTTACCAAAAGGGGGTGGCGCTCATCTTCACCAAAGTCTAGTGCCATTTGCCATTTTTACCAGTCCAGCACATGGTGAAGGTGAACTACTATTATACAAGGGACTATGAAAATCTTTGCAGGCTCACCTTAGAATTCTGTCACTCATAGCTCTGGTCCTTAGCCTGAAGGTAATATGGTAATGGCTGTGTTCATGAGCCTGAGCCCAAAGCATGGCTCAGGAGAGTCATCTTGAATTCTGATCCCTTAGAGACCTTCTTCCTTGGGTACATCATGAGATCAATGCATGGATTACATGCAGGTTTGGTGTGGTGAGCAAAGTCAGCTCAAGTATGTAGGCTCAAGATCTACAATTCCTCCCTGGAGGAGGCTTCTTCTTAGTGTGGCCTCTGATCCTCCCACTGGATCATTTCCACTTTGATCTTGAAGAATCCTTGATTCAGGTGTCTCCTCTCTCCTAGAGTCTTTCTTTTTTCCTTTCACAGTTCTGACGACAAGCAACCAAAGGGCCATTTGCTCTTCTTTCACACCCTGAAAGTGCATTCCAGGATCTGCCTGAGTCACCATGGCAAGTACCTTGTCAGACAGATTTGCCAATGCAAATTAGTTGAGTGAGAGGAAGATAAGAAAAACATGTAGGGTTAAGGGTAGCATACAACAGATGGGATGGCAGATAGCTTATCCAACCCCAGGTACCTGTGGCCACTTGGGAAGAAATACAGATCCACACTACTATGTTGGATAGCTGGTCAGAGAACTGGAAATCCAGGGTGTGAAACACACTAAACAATTAGCAGAGAACAGCAACAAGATATGTCCTAATATATGACTGGTTGGGTTGTGGGGAAGCACAACTTGTTTAAAAAGTGAGTGTAAAAATGTAAATATAATATTTTGTGTAAGAGCAACTGCCTCTACTGAATGATACCATTACTACGCTCACTACTGACAGATGTGTGGAGGAACCAGTCCCTTCATTGAGGTCAGTGAAGCAGAAGTATCCAGGTAGAAGTGCTTGCTAACTGTCTCCTCTTCCCAATCTAGGACACTCTCAGCTGTCAACTTCTCTCAGCACCCCTGGGACCCATGCAGGGGGAGATGGATTCAGTCTCTGTTGCATTAACTTCCACTCAAATGACATGAAGAGACACTCATTGTGACTTCAGGCTGAGCGGCAATTCCATGCCACTATTAGCTGCCTCAGGAATGCAATTTAATTTCTCACCTCTAAGAAACTACTCAAACTCTAGTTGGGCAGGGGAAATAGGCCAAGGAATGCAGCCTCAGTGACTAGCTTATTTCAATTCCGGAAATATTTATTCAGCACCAACTGTGTTCTAGCAGCAAAGGGAATATAAAGATGGAAAAGATAGGGGCTGGGACCTTGAGCTGAGACTACAGCTATGGGTCTCCCACAGGCTCCCAACAAACCTGAATCTGGGGTCATTCCTGCACAGTGCTAGTTAATGTCATGATGTCTCAGGTGGAACTCATGTCAGGGACACCTAATAGAACTTGCTCTCTTTCACGAAATTGAATATAAAAGGACTTTTGTCTAATTTAAACAAAGACTTCAATTTAAACAAATGTTAAAATAAAAAGTAGTTTCAGTTGAAAGAGTCTGTCACAAACCTTTCTTCCCCTGCCTGCCAGAAAAACTTTTCACCCTACCCCTCCCCCCCGAAGGGCACACAATATGAAGCCAAGTTGAAGCCATTGGGCAAGAGGATGATGTTACGGGGTTGGAAGATCATGGGCC